ATGGGCTGAATGACTAAGCAAAGTGATAGAAGATTTCAGGCTCTGCATCATCTGCTAGCTAGTTCAGCTCTTAATTCAAAGTACCACATAAATCACCATGTGACAACCTGTCACTCAGTTCAGTGACAAAAGAAAGGTCCTCATTGTAATTGAGGCAAACTGTTCTCCTTAGGACCTTTGCAGAGGCTCCAGAGCACCAATGGTCAGGACAATGAACTGTCTCTGTGTTCAGCAGGGATGTATGTCCAGCTCATGCCTGTGCTACAGAGATGATAGAAATTTTGCTTGGTGCATCAAACTTGAATTGTATTGAACACAGGCTGTGGATAAAAGAGAAAACAAGTATGCAGACTGGTTCCTCTGACATTAATGTCCCTTCTGCATAGGGACATTTCTTATAAGCGCTTTTTTTTTTTTTTTTTTTAATTTAATAAGAAAATTGGCCTAATGAAGGGGATAAACTTTTTTTGAAATCTGCTTGCTTCTTCCATGCTTCATTCTACATGGGAGGAAGTTCTATATACACCCAGCAGAAGGCACAGTGGAAAAGGCTGCTCCACTAATAATGTTAGACAAATAAGATAACAGCACTACTGTTGGTGTGAATTCAAATTTTCAGTTTACAACAGCCATTCCCACACCACGCTTGCATTTGCTGCCAAGAAATATTTGCATGACAAGCCTTTCTGGCAGAATTATTTGCAGGAGTTTATTCTTTTAGTCTGAGAGATGTATGCCACACGTCCTGCCAATCAGCAAAGAAAAGAGAATGTGATGTAACAACAAATCCCTTCTAACACAGATCTCCATAACCAAATGTGACCGCTGACAAGCATGTGTATATTTTGTGATGAAAAAAATTTATCTTTTGCACAGTAAATTATCATTTTTGAAGGACTCAGTTCTAGCTTCTTTGATGATTCAAAGTTCATTAGGTTTTCTCTAAGCTCATTAAATGTACCTTTCCTTTTTTGCTTTAATTTTGATTGTCACAGTTTCAAGAGCCATGTATTTTTCCTTGTCTCTTAAATTAGTTGTTCTGTTGGCCAACACCACTAGATCTTCTTTCTTATTTTCAGGTCCAATAACTACAGGCATCAATAAAAATGCTGCAGTTTGATGAGCAATAAAAAAAGAGGATCCAAAAGTCAAGAAAAGCATGCCTAAGGCAAACACATCTTCCTTTAACATTTAGAACATAACTATCAGTTACTATTTGTCATAAAAGTCAAAAGACTGACAAAAAAAAGATTCTCACTGAATTCCAATGACTCCACTAAACTTCCACCATAATGCCAGAAGCCAGTGCTTTCAAGTAAGTGTTTCCCTGCCACTGAACATAAAGTTCTTCCAAATATCATGGATATGCCTATATCATTTCAGGTAGCAAGGAATCTCCATTCCAAAATGTACTGTTCTTTGGCTTTGAAAGAGATCTTTCTGAACAGTTAACTACTGACAGCAGAAATTTCTAAAATATTTTAATGTGTTTTCTGGAGTGAAGACTCTTTATGTAACACATTTAATAAATTCTGGAAAGAAATTATTTCAGAGACAACCCTTCCTGTTGGATGTGTAGATGGCCTGCAGATCAGAATCTGTACATGTGATTTAAATAAATATCTACATTATTATATATACACTTCTATATAAACCTCAAAACACATTAAGCTTTAACCAGAGGCCTTTACAGGAAGCACAGAGAAAGGAAATCTTGCTGGGGAACCTTTGAATCCCTGTTTTTAGAAAATGGGTAATAATTGTCAGCAAGCATTGCACCTAGAGAACACCTATGAAGATTCCAGTTTCATACAATGGAATAATTAACTTTACTGCTGCTTAGACTTACTAAATAAGGCATTTTTTCCACAGCCAGCAAATTTAATGACTCCTATAGAAACTAGGTTTGACAAGTTCTGCAGAATCTGAGAATAAAGGAACTCGTCACCAGCAGAAGATAACACTGCCCTGATTTGGAATAAAAAGTATCAATGGAAAGAGCAAACAGAAACACAGAAACTGAAGTCCTGCAAAAGTGCAATGCCATCAGAAGTGAGGCAAGCATTTTTATTGTCCCCAGATTTGCCTAACCCTGACGTGGAGGGAACGGATTGGAATATTTTAACCTCCTCTAAGCTTGTTCAGTGCTTGGCTCTGTCACTCTTACAGACAGCCTAAATGTTCATTACCATCACTTTCAAAATAAGACTCCTGTGTGCAACACAGACACATTGAACATAAACCATTTTCAGAAGAGTTGTAACAATTTATACCAGCCAAATATTTGCCCCAAGTGCTTTGAGCCCTGTACTTCAATAGCCCAGTACCCACAATGTACTACAACTGCTCACCTAACTGGAAGACGGTAACTGGAGGTCTCTCAAAACTAAAAATACTGTCGTGAATGATTCTGGAAGGAATGCAAATTTACCTTAATATCATTGCATCTAAATTTACCATCTGATTGCTTTACTCGTCTTTGCTATTCTCCTTTCTAAGAGGAATTTTCCTCATCCAGGCACACCTGCAGAGGTATCAGGTGTCTTCACCATTAATAACCATTCTCTTCCACCCATTTCTCCATTTTCCTCTGTGTTTTGTTTCAGTTACTTGATACCTTCTGATCAGGGCTCAGAAGTTGCAGTTCTGCTTGTGGCTGAGCAGTACTTCTTTGCAAGCTTGCACAAGCCATTTTTTTTTAAATTAAGGCACATTACAGACAACTCTGCTTGCTAGCCACTCCAACACCCAGAGGAACAGTAGAAGTCTTCAGCCACAGGCTCCTTACCAGCTACAAATGAAATGGGCAGGGAAGCAAACTGAAAATGAGTGCTGTAACTGAGCAGTATCTATAGTTGTTCCTCCTTACCCTGTAGCTACCAATGAACTTCAGTCAAAGGAAACAGCTGTCAATTAAAAAGAATTAATGATAAATAATAAAAAGTGTCATCCTAGAAAGAAGAAAAATGAGCAAGGAAAACAAAGCGGTATGCAGAAAACAGAAGCAGTGTGCTGTTAGAAGGAAAAAAATACACTCAATCATAACTCTCATTTTATCAAGGATCTTTTCTTTCCATGCTTCTAGCCTCTCGGATTGAAAAGAATTAAAAATGTCATTTTAAGTCCTCAGAATACCTTTTTGTCCAATCTGTTATGCCAGACTGTCTTCATGTTCGGAGTATTTGTTAACTGGACAAAGGAAATCTCAGACTGAATATAATGTATACTACTCCAATAGCAAGAACTACTTGATTGTGATAACTGCACTCCAGTAGCAGGAAGAACCCAAATTGTTTGAGCTATTTAAAATTAGACTGAACAAAGCCTGAGTGATTTACCATAGGCAACAGCAGGAGGATAGCTTGGAAAATGGCTGTGTAAGATCTGTAACCTGGGTCATAATACTAAATCCTTCCTTGAACCAAGCTGCCAAGCATGTTCTCTGTAGGTCACAGATGCTGTTAGTGTCTAAAAAGCAGAATATGATAGATAAAACTAATCTCATATGACTGTAGTGAAAGCTAAATTCCTCAGAGAATTATCATCCACATGATGCTCACTAATGAGCTCTGTTTTAGGAAATGTCTGGGGTCTACCTAAAAAGGGATCTTTTTCTCAATCAGAAGTCAGTATATGTTGCTTGTACATTATTTAGTATTAAAGCACAGGCCATATGTATCAACACATGGATGCACAATGTGTAGCAGCTCAAAATGAACTCAGTTACTGTGCATGTTCAAGATACTTTTTTCACAAACTGTGATGCAGGGGGGTTTTGTCAATCTTTTAACATGCTACAGTCATGATTATATGTATCTTTAGCAAGAACAACATTTCTGTAGTAGTAATTTCTATACTTCAAAGAAAAAAAAAAACAGAAGCTGAAAAAATAGGACAAACAAGTGAACAGAGGAACTGAAATAAACAAAGCATATGGTTATGAGTCACTGTAAATTCTTAATTAATCTACGTTGACAAAGATTATGGTGACTAAATAGTATGGGTGCATGAAACTCATGGCAGTAGACTTGCACAGCAACCCACAACAAATAATCTAAATTTTCAACTTGTACAAAAATTAAGCCATTTACTAGATTTGCAAGGCAATGGAAGCACACTAAGGGCTTGCAGGCAGAACTGTCTGTCTCACACAAATACACCCTAATAGCTGCATACGGCGTGCATCATGCCCTTTCCTGGACAGCAATGCTGGAACACTTCAACATAAAAGCTACAAAACTGACTTTATGGGCAGCCTTAATTTGCTTTACTCAGCATAGAAAGTTCGAGTTTAATTTTTACTGTGAAAAATGACTGAACATGGCCAGCACAGCTGTATTCTCCTGTTATAAGAAAAGATTCTTCTAAAATAGCTCTGGCAATTAACATAACAAGGGATGAACTCATAATGTCAATTAGAATTTGATGGTTCCCAGGAGATTCTGGCTTTCTTTTTAAAAGTTTCACTTTGTTAACCAGTTAACATATGTTGTAAAATATCGTTGTAAAATATCTAAAGTTTTTGTTTGCATTCTAGCAGCAAAACTTTGACCTATGCCCTGGATTATGTCTTTGTTCAAAACCAACATTAGTGTCAATTACTGAGTTCCATGGGGGATGCCTGTAGCCTCTAGAGCGTTGCCATTAGCTCAGGGCTTATCAAAATTACACATCTGTAAGATGAGCAGCAGTAAAAAACAATAGCCCAAAGCTCTCTCTGCATTAACATTTTGGATACCACTATATGTTGTATGGTTTTTTATTATTAAACTTATGTTTTTATTTCACACTTTCAGATCCCCCAACTGTTGTTACTCCCTGTAACCTATAACTGACAAAAAAATAACAAATGTAGAGAAAACATCAATGGATAGCTCTGACGATCAGTAGGTTGATCTCCATGCAGGGCATGATCTGATGCTGTTAATACCAACTTCACAGCATCATGGCACATCACACAAGAAATGGAACTGAAAAAGGTGTCAAGGCAAATCTGTTACCTGTCTGATGGGTTTTTGCTTTTCCACCAGTGACTGCTGAAATACTAGATCCAGAAGATGAAGCTTCCATTTTTATTGACCTTCTGACTTGTGGAAGTGAAAGATGCCCAACCACAGGAGGATGCTGTGACGCTGGGTAGCTTGATGCAGTTCTCTTCTGACAGATTTGTGCACGCTTTTCAGCCCCATGAATAGATAAACTTATACCTGACAGGAGTAAGAATTAGTTCCATTAGATACAAGAGACCAGCATGGAATAACTAAAATATAAAAATTACCATGGTTTTAAATGGAACTGTAACAGCCTTCTTAAAGAAAAAAAAACCAACTATGAAAACATGAGTTTTCTATGAAAATGAAAAATTTGAACATCTTTGTTGCTGTGCTGCAGATGTCAGAGTCGGCCACACTAATAGATATTTAAATTAATACACAGTCATGGTTTACTGCATTACTGGCCTGCCAGAGGAATTGCCTTCCATTCCTTCAAAAAACCCACACAGCTCACATAGGATGATGTTAATGAGATAACTATCATAGAGGTTACTAAATGACAATTTCCTGATTGACAGACTAAAACTTGGCAATAATAGTTTCTTCTGAGCATTCACAAGTGTTAGGAAGTCTCATCATACAGAAAAGATGCTACATTTCAGGTGGTAACTAGCTTTTAAAGAAAAAATAAAGGTCTGTTTTGAGAAAAACAGTAAGTCTATAAGCAACAATAACATGACCTTAAGCTTGAAAAACAATTCCACTTTCACCAGTCTTGTGAAATATTGCCTACAACACTGGAAATTGTCTTCCACACCAAACATTCTCAAATTTGTCATATAGCCAATTTTTAAATAGAAATGGTGATGAAAAACAGGCTTTACTTTCCCAAAAGGAAATACAAAGTTGAAATTTCCTATGTGTCTATTGTACAGTCTTAGAAAGAAATTACTATCTTGTGGTAAAAAACATGCTGATTCTGACTTACTTACTTTCACATTGATGCAATTGCTCCAACTTCAATTTGAATTACTCTCAGCATACTCTGGTGAAAACCTTTAGAAATCTCTTCCAGGCAACAAAGCTGAATGATAATTCTATGCTACTGTTTTACACTTAATTTAATCGTGACTCTTGCTTCTTTTATCAGTAAACACTCTTTGTTTTAAAAAACAAATTAAAACCCCTAAACAGATATAAATGGGCAAACTGAGAAGCAGATGGAAAAGCAGACCCTAAAAAATGGAAATCTGGATATTGCAAGCACATTGTAAGTTGCAGTCACTCAAAATCAATAGATAACATTGATTAGATTGCTCTTTTTTGTGACAGGATCCCTCACCGAAATGTCCAAGAATGCCTTAATGACTCTGCTCTTCCAGTTCCACTGAAAGTCAATCTATGTGAACCTCCAGGTCCTGGAAGAGGTTTTGAACCTCTGAAATCTCAATACACTTCAATCCATAATATACTACCAAGGGGAAGAGAGCAGCCACTTCTGTAAGCAAATTGTGAAAACAGAGGGGTTGCACATGTGAGGAAATGCTGTGCAAAGTGCTCTCATTTAAGATGGTTTTGCGCATTCAGAATCGAAGCTGCATGCTCGCTACCTGACTTTACTGCACTTCACCAGAGCTGATCTCCTGCAGGAAGTGTGAAGGGATGAGGACTCCCCTGCAGCAACTGCTCACACAACTCCTGATCACAGGACTAATGTAACTGCCAGCTGTTTCTAAAGACTGTTGAAATCACATTAAATGCCAGTTACCTTATTTAGTCAATTAATCTTGAGAAAGGTAGGGTAGTAATCCACATGGGCAGAATGATAATGCGCATGCCTGGACAACCCTTTTTTTTGACCATGTTAGCCATATAGCTTAGCCATAAGGGGCTTCCAACATCTAGAAGCTAAGTCCCAGCTGTAAAATGAGCTCTTGACTTCTTGTGCAGTCACTAGAAACTCATGATGCTCAAAATATTGTGCAATTATCCTTAAGGTATAAAAAAACTAACCATAACCGTTTCCTTTTAGCATCACCCCTGGTTGTCTTATCATTTAAAACAACCATCCCTCTGAACCTTACAGTGGAGTCAGTAATTTTTACTACCAACGCTAAACATGAACCTGGCACAGGCCCATACTTACTAGCTAGATCTAGTAAGGCTGTGCTTTCATTTGGTCACGAATGATCAATTTTAGGAACTGGTTCCAAACAAACTGACTGCTACATTTCTCTGAGGTTCAAGTGAATTGCTTCTTTGCATTCGGAAAACAGTCTATAACCACTTGTGCAGCTGTGACTCAGCTTCCTAAACTCTATGTGCAGCACTTCTTTTCAGACATCAAAATAAATAATAATGCAGCCAGATCATTATTCTTAAAAACTGCAAAATTTGCAGATTGATCACATCCAAAATTATGTTCAGTCAACAACCTGACTCTAGTTATATGCAACCTTTGTTTCTTCCACTAAAGAGAGGTACTATAAAATTTTAACACCAAACTACATGAGGAAGAATGTGCCAGCATTATTGAAAATTATTGAAAACAGATTACTCTTTGGACATATTTAAAACTTGCGCTCAAAAATTACCAGAGTTTATACCAAAGGTGTGTCAACAATATATTTGATATATTTGGGAGTTCTTCACCCCACTCTCCTTCCCTCTGCAGTTATTTTTTTCATATAAGAAGAACAAAGATTTCTGAATAAGAGTCTTCACTAGGAGAGTGAATTTCCATTATTTTCAAGAGAACCATGTACAGGATAAAGATGCAAGTGTCCTTATTTAATTATCATTTCAGATTTTGTTCCAGTGACCAAATCTTGTTTTTCTATGTACGTTTCTTCTGTTAAACTAGAAGTCTGCAAAAATGTAAAGCAATTGGGAATAGCACATGCAGCTCATGGGAGATGAAAACTTGGTGAACCTTTGTCAGTAAGCAGACTTCAGAGTAAACTCCCCCTATTCTTCCTAGAAATAACTCACACTGCTCATGAAACCTGGGGTTTGGTGGTCAGAGATTTGAGAAAACAGCGCAGACATCTCTGAAGAGCAGATGTTAAAGTTAACCTCAGTTACTTTTTGCGGCATGATGACACTCACACAAAATATCAAGAAAGAAAGATGTTCTCCAGCAGTACACTGCAGGCTAGGTTTTCAATTAAATATGTTTGGTGGAGTTTTTCTCCTGTCTTCAGGCTTGGCCATATAGTTGCTGACACCAAAATCCCAGTGTTGTGGAATACCTGGCTACATGGCCTGACTGTACGTGCAGCATAGTCATTTTTAAGTGACTTGGTAGGCTCAGTAGCTGGGTATGAGCACACCAGCATGCTCTGATAGGTAGTATAGATGCTACAAAACCCAGTAGTTTCTCCTGCCTCAATGTAATGGACCACAAGCACCATTTTAGTTGCAGTGCAAATGCAAGTGAAAGACTTGAATACTGGCCAGTAGCCACAGCCAACCGTTCACCCTGGAGGAGTGGCTTCAGGACAGAGCTCAGTCACCCATACCCGGCTGGCTGCAAAACAAGTATTTAAGAGTGGGGAAGTAGAAGTTTAGTGTTTTGAAGATGAATGAGATTTGAGCCTTCAAGTATTATATGTATCACTCAGCTGTTTTGCCCTCCTGCATGCAGCAAAACTCCTCTGTATTTTCAAGTCTTCACATGCCTTTCTCTTCCTTACCTATATTTCTATCTTTTTTTTCTTGTCTCCATGAAGAGCTGCTCTTCTTGCTGACCTTTTCTCCTCGATAGAGGCTTCTGAGCTTGCAGGTTCATCTAAGAGAAATACCTTCACCCCTTTCCTATCAACACATCTCAGCTGTGCAGTTTTCCAGCAGGGAAAAGCAGCCTCTATCCTGCTTCTGGCTAACTTTGATTGCTTCTAGCTATTACAAATTTTTATTACAAATTTTTCTGAAGCAGCATTTCTATTGAGCATATTTTGCCTCTTATGAAGTGGTAGCATACTTATGACACTAAAGAATATATAACGCTACAGATAAAACCTGCATGTGAGAACATTAAGAAGACTATTAAAATACTTGCAAGTCAGGAAGCAATAAAATCAAACATAAAGAAGAAAAAGGAGGGAGAAACTACTCAAAGTAGAAAACATTAACAGTGTGACTGCATGCAAAGGTTTATGTGACGGTGATATCTATTTTGTTGGCTCATCATATGCTACAGTAATGAACGACCACATCGTGCACTATTCACGAGTCACTCTGCCAGGGCATCTGATGAGGCATCTGCTTTGGCCATGCCTTGGCCCTGGCTAGCAGGTGGCGTGCACCCCACAAGCCTGCATGGAGCAACACCTGAACACAGTAGACCTCATCCAGCACACCTGTGCTATTTGACTGAGCATAGCCCAGTGGCTCTGGTACTGGTGGAGATGGCTCTAGCACCAGAACTGAGGTCAGCAAGGCCCTGTATCCAAATTATACTGTGTCAGGACTGAGACACCTCTCCACCTGGGGAGGCACCCCCCTGTAGCAACTTTCAGGGTTGGGTCAGCCCTAGTTCTGTTTCCATCCTGTACTACTTTGGGTTACAGGCATATATTTATAGGTTCTTTCTTGATGTGTCTGTCTCTAGCCAGAGATAATATGAACATGAATAAGCAATAATAATGCAATGAAGAGTTGCAAAGCTGTATAAACAATCCATTAGCTAACAGTGCTTAATTAGCCTCAACTGCCCTGACCCGCATTGTAGACCTTCTCTGAGATAACAAACTGCTGCTGGCAGGTGCAGTAAACCCTTTTGGTTTGGTATCACCAGAATGTCAGTGCTTATGCTGGAGACAAATTACTTCAGCTATTTCTCTCTTTTATGTGTTTTTTTGAATTCTGTTTCAGCCCTATGTGGAGGCCTTAGGAGCCTATTGAGGCAGACCCCTTCTCTTCAAGGCACTTTTCAGAGAAGAGCAAGGGCAGGGGAGCACAGAGCAAGAAGTGAGGAAGAAAATCTCAGCTGCACAGTTATGTAGGGCCATAAAGAGTAAAGTAGCTCTGGAAACCCTGCAGTCATCAATGCACAGATAAGGAAGGTTATAAGGAAGCACTCTGGAAGCATGGGCAGAGAGTAGAAAATTAGGCTTTAAGGTGCACTATATAAACAGGAAAATTCCATATTCAACTAAAAGAAAAGTAAGCTAAAAGAGAAAGTGAGCTAATTTGTCCACCTTAAAAAGCTA